CTAACTAGATCTATCACTAACTGTGTGATTTCTCACTGTTTCAATGTCTTTATGAGACAAAGACTTCACAGGGTTTATTTAAGATTAAATAGATCATATGCATGAAGTATCAACTTCAGTCTTAGTCGTGGCCATTTCTACTACTGGTTCATTAAAGCATCTAGCTTTTCAATCTTATGAGAAATAGATAAGAAGAAAAAAAAGTAGACTTTAAGAGAAACGGTACCACTTATTTATTTATTTACTCACTCACTCACTCCTGGGCTCAAATGATCCTCCTGCTTTAGCTTCTCAAATAGCTCAGACTACAGGTGTACACCACCATGGCCAGCTAAATTCTCTATTTTTGTAGAGACAGGGTCTCACTCTTGCTCAGGCTGGCCTCAAGCAATTCCCCTGCCTAGACCTCCCAAAGTGCTAACACTATAGGTGTGAGCCTCCATGCCCAGCTCACTTCTCCATTTTTCTAAGAAAGATCATGCTACCTCTTACAAGAAAGACAATTACTGTACATAAAAAAAAAATCTACTGCTTTTATTTCAGCAGATCAGGCTGCTAACATTCCTTAACTGGCTGGGCCAAGTTCCTAACACAGATATATTTCTGAATTAAGGAGGTACAGAGCATTGCAAATGAGGGCATATTATTTGGGCTAAAAGGAATATAAAGTGAGGAAAACAGAAACTAAAAACAGAATACTTATGCATATAAACTATGGGCATAGTTTTGAAAGAACTGAGCTGAAGAGAGAATAAAATTCAACACATTTGATTAAGTATATCAAAAGACAGGAATTTGCTGCAATTTTATATCTTTGTCCTATTTGGTATTTCTTGTTGACTGAGCAATATAGTTTACATATCTGAACAGTTAATGCTATTTATTACAATTATTTTCTGCTTTGATCAAGAGCTATCAGTCCTGATACAGACACTTATTTTGAGATTCACAGTTTTGAAGCAGTTGGTTGATCCATTAATCTTACCAATTCCTGGCATTTTCTAACTCAAAGAAGTAACTTCATTATGGTAAATCTTAGGAGATTACTAAATGACTTGGGTGTAAGTTATCTTTCTTCAAGCCTCAAAAATAAAGAATAAAATAGGGAAGCCAGCAAGTAAAATGAGACCACAAGAGGCTTTGTCCTTTTTGGTCCTGTGACTATAATCCCTCCCCCATCCCTAAGATGCTGAGCAGCCCAATGGCTCAAGGAAAGGAGGGCTAGGAAGTGGGGTGGATGCTGCAAGCACCTAGTCCAGGAAGCCTGTCTATCTCCACAGGCTGAAGACTCCCTCTTCTCCATCCACAGAGGTATCAGCAGCCCAGCTTGTGAAAACTCTCTCCACACCCTCAGACAGAAGCAGCAGAGATCAACGGGGCCTCTGGGTAGCAGATAAAATAAGCAGACCAAAACACCACTACAAAGGCACTCAAAATTAAATTGTTACTGGAACCACAACTGACCAACAGAGTATAGGACCTGCTTGGTAAACCTAAATAAGCATGGTGACTGCCTACTTATATAAAAGGCTTAAATTTAATAGGACCCAACATCTCTTAACATAATAGCCAAAATATCCAAGTAAGATTCAATAGAAAATTGAATCTTAGTATCACCTGTGATACTAAGAACCAGGAAAATCACAATCTGAATGAGAAAAAACATCAACTTATGCCAACACTAAGATAGATGTTAAAATTTTCAGATAGAGATTCTGAAGCAGCTGTCATAAAAATGCTTCAAAAAGCACTTATAAATTCTCTTGAAACAAATGAAATATAGAAAATATAAGCAAGGAAACAGAAGTTATGAAAAGAACCAAATATAAAAATGAAAAATATATTATTTTAATAAGAAACTTAAAAACTTACCAAATGAAATTGATGGTAGGGTGGAGATGACAAAGGATAGAATCAGTGAACTTTGAGGACAGATCAGTAATATTTACCCAATGTGAACAAAGAGAAAATAACTGAAAAAATAATTGACAGAAACTCAGGGAATTGTTGGATAATAACACAAGATTCAACATTCATATCATCAGAGTTCTAGAATAAAGGAAGAAAGAGAGTACAGTAGAAAGAGTATTCAAAGAATTAAGAGTTGAAAACTTCTTAATTGGTTAAAGAAATAAACATACAGATTCAAAAAACTGAGTGAACCTAAACAGGATAAATCTAAATAAGCCCACACTAGTATATATCATAACTAAACTTCTGAAAACTAAGTCCCAAGAAAAAAATCTTGAAAGCAGTGACAAACATATTACCTATAGGAAAATATTAATTCAAATGACAGCAGATTTCTCATCTAAAACCATGGAGGCCTGAGGAAGTGGCATAATATTTTACAGGTGCTGAATGAAAAGAACTGTCAGTTGTGAAATGTGACCTACTTTTAAAGAATGACTAAAGAAAGTTTTTCAAGTTCTTTCTTTCTACAAAGAAAATGAAGGAAATGATAAGGAATATTTGAACATCAGGAAAGAAAAAAGAGCAGGAATAGGTACATATAATAGACTATCCTCATGAATTTTAGAAATCATATGTGAGAATTGGAAGAAAAATGATAATCCCATCTGATACTCAAAACTCTAAATGGAACAAGGTTTCCACAATTAAAGTGGTAAAATGATGGCATCAGAAGACTGTGATAAATTACATTTATATATTGTAATATGAAAAGACATACAAGGAAATATGCTACTATAAATAAATAAAAATGAAATCCTAAAATATGACCCCTAGGGAAGGCAAGAAAAGAATAACAGAGGAACAAGAATTAGAGGAAACAAACTGAAAACAAACAATAAAATAGCAAACTTAAACTCACCTACCAAATTACCTTAAATGCAAATGGTGTAAATATACAAATTAAAAGGTAAGGATTGGTAGAGTGGGTTTAAGGAAAAAAAAAAAACCTAAACGATATGCAGTTTACAAGAAATTCCTTTCAATTTCAAAGAAACTAGATCACTCGTAGATTGCTGGTGAGAATGTAAAATGATACACTCTACAAAATAGTTTGGAAGTTTCTTTAAAATTAAACATGTACTTACCACACAATGCAGGAATAGCACTTTCCACACATTTATCCCAGAGAATGGAAAATGTATGCCCATAAAATAACATGTACACAAATGTTCATGACACTTTATTTATAATAGCCAAAATTGCAAACAATCCAGATATCCTTCAGTGAGTGAATGGTTAAAGAGAACTGTGGTATGTCCATGTCATAGAATACTGCTCAGCAATAAAAAGGAATGAACTGACACAAAAACTTGGAGGAATATCTAGAATCTTACACTGAGTGGGAAAAAAAGCCAATTCCAAATGGTTGCATACTGTATGATTCTATTAATATAAATTCTTGAAATGACAAAATTATAGAAATATAGGACAGATTAGTATTGAGGGGAGCAAGAGGAGGTACCAGGGAAGTAGATGTGGCTATAAAAGGAGAACACAAGGGATATTCCTGTTGAAACTGTTCTGTATCTTGATTGTGGTGGTGGGTACATGAATCTACATATGATAAAACTGTATAGAACCACATCCACACACACAAGTGGGTACCAGTAAAACTGGGTGGACTGTATCAAAAGTAATATTCTGATTGTGATACTGTTCTATTGTTTTGCAAAATGTTACTATTAGGAATATCTGCATAAAGGGTTATTTCTTACAAGTGCTTATGACTTATGCTTTTCTGTTGTACTCTAATTTTTTACAATGAGCAATGTAGTGGGTATCTGTTGTTTCTACCTGGCCGATATCCATTACCTCTTCCTCTGGAAAGAATGTTCAATTTTGCTTTGGGAAACTATGTCCTATACCACACTGGAAACAGTCTTGGCAGTACTGTCCATCAAGATGTCTCACCATCCCTAGGCACTGTGCCAAATGAAGTTCACTCTTCCCTAAGTTTTAACCTTGAGCAGAGTTGACAAAGATTAATTCATCCTAGCTGGAGTGCTCTGATGAGACCATGTATTAGTTCTAGCTACCTGATCTCTGCAGCTGCCTTCCTTCTGTTAATTTCAGAGCTTATTTCTTTCCCCTGAGCCTGTGAGATACCCCCACAGTCTTCAAATAAATCTCATTTTGCTTAAGTTATTTACATTTGGTTCCCATTATTTGCACCTCAAGAACCCAATCAAATATATGCACCCTTCAAACAAACCTAACACAAAAATGTACCAAGTTTTAAATTTTTAATTGTAATTTTCACTCTGTAAGACCTTAATTAAGCTTTCATCCATAAACTGTTGCTCAAAAATGAATAGATTCTTACAAGTGAACTTAATGGAGTGTACAAATTTAACTGGAGTTAAAAGATTAAGTCCTAATTATAAGCCAAACATGCTATGTCCAAGTGACATGAAAATACATGGATATGGCTCCTGCTCTCAAGTCTCACAGGTAAGTCAGAGAACTGTAACAAATAACTATAATGTAACATGGGAACTGCTATGACACAAGTGTATCTAAAATGCTATGCCAACATACAAAAAGCCAATTCAGTAAAGAATAAACTATGAATTTTAATCCATTCTGGCTGGGTTTTAAATAAGTATTCTCATAGAGGATTTACCAATATTTTTTCTAAGTCAGAGCATAAACATACATTGTTAATCTTATATTAGAAAGTAAATATTAACATATACATTTCTAATCGTTTAAATATTTTCATTATTAATCTGCAGAATATTAAGTATCCCAACACTAGTATAAGTCAAATGATGAATTTAATAAACCTTAATGTAGACGAGGTTTCTAAAATTGAGACCAAACGATGATTACAAACTGTATGAACATAAAAAGCACGCTTAATAAATAATCATTCATATAATAATATCACTATTATTTAATTTCTGGACTAATTATCTAGTTTTATAAAGTAAAAATCATGCATCCAAAGGTAAGTTTAATAAAATTTGTAAAAGAGTGCTTTATAATTGCATAATACTTCTTTAGAATAAAGTAATACTTCTTACCTTCTGGAGTTGGAATGCACCCCAAGAAAAAGAAAGGAGAAAAAAAAAACCTTTTAATTTTTCTTTACAAAGCAACAATAAAGCCAAAAAATAACCTGACCCTTACCCTCCCAGCAATATCCACAATTACTCAAATTAGTAACCCCCTTTTGCTACATAAAACATTAATTTCTTCTTTGAAATTGATGTTAACCCCAAATAGCATATCAAAATATGTCTAAAATGCACAATTAAATTCATCTAAGTAGTCTAAACCACTTCAGAAAACAGCTGCAGTATCTTAACCATGTGACAGAGTAAAATCATTAGGGCAGTTTAGAGTTAAAAGTGGATACAATGAGTATTTCCCATTCTTTAATATCCTTCCCATGCATTTCAATTTCAAAGAGCCATCATAAAGCCATCAGCTATGGACCCTAAGGTTTATTAGCATCTGTTTGATCCATAATGGAACTCACTATAAATCTGAATAACAATGGCTAAGAATACTCTTTTCTGTATTTTGTTTCTGTTTTTTCATTATTAATTTTTTTCTGACATTCCTACCAGGTTTGTGGGCTTGAAAGCAGACTGCAACTAGTAGATAAAGACGACACAGGCTTAATCACAAAGGTAACAGCTAACCTTAAATAAGGTGTTGATTTAATAAATAATTTTCTTCACTTCAAAACTGAGCTCTTACTGATGAAAAATCACTTCAAGGCAATTCAGCTTGGCAAATAACCAAATTATCTACCCTGCGGGAGTAATGATTTCTGCTGAAAAGGAGTAGAGGATGTTGATTTTATTTCCTTTGCTATATATAATACCTTTATACAAGATGAGGTAGGGGAAAATTAGGTGCTGATTAGTTTTTGGTATGAGGTAAACTAAAACATATAACCTTAAGTACCATGTAAGAGAAATCATTTTCTTCATAATAAAAATATTAGTACTAATCAGATGTGACTGGGACTCCCCCAAACAAGAGGTAAAATTTCAATCTGGAAAATGTTTATCAAGCATGATCTTTCCTAGACGGTTCCCAGAGTTCTTTACAAATCCCAACCCTAAAGGAACTTGCTACTTTGCTTGGGAAAGAAGACTGAAACAAAAGAAAAACTCCTTGCTTAGATAACAATGTTGAGCTCTGCAAAACAGTACATAAAAGACCTATTTAAATGTTCACTTTTTAAAAAATGTACTGACCGTTTCAGAAGCCGCATTATAATGATTGAGGTTTTTATTTCAAATTCTTCCAGAAAGCAATCCGTAATTAAACAACAACCAATCTAATGTTGCTAAATGTCAGCATAAGTTTATTTGAGAAATAATAGTACAAATACATTAATCATAAGGATATGGAGAACTATAGATGTAAAAGCAGAATGATATACTGAAAGAAAACAAAAACCAAGGTTTCTAGTTTCACTGAGCTGGTTGTATGACCCTGGCCAAGTCTCAATCTCCATGGGCCTTAATCCTTTAATAATAAACGGAGATGTAACTAAAATATCTTTTCCAGCTGTAACACTATGATTGAAATAATGTGATTAATATAGAAAAGGAATGGAAGAGGGAGAAGAGGGGGGGGAAATTCATTTTAGAGCACTGTTAATCAGAGGCAGCATGTTATAAAACAAGTAGATAAACTTCATTGGCAAGGAATAGATGTCCAAGTCATCTGCTTATCCCCAAATTTGCCAGTTCTACTATATAGCTAGCACTTAGCCTTCCTTTCCATGTCTTTTTCCATAAAGAACCAATGCTTTTAAATACTCTTTGACTTCTTTCGGAGGTGACAAGTAATATCCTAATTTAGAAGCTAGGCAGTTGGCCACATTAATTTATTCGCTTACCCATGCCACCCCTACAGTGTGAAGATTCAAATTCATGTCTCACTAAAATTTCTAATTATATACCATGAACCCTTGGAATCACTAATAAATGGTCTAATTAATTCACAAAATGCTCAATTCATGTATGATAAATTCATGAACAAAAATCCTAATTTCTTTTTCCTTTTCTACTCATGAATGGAAAGACAAGAAAAACTAGTCAGAGAATAGGGTCTCTTGAACTGAATCCTATTTTTTTCTTCTTTCCTAAAAACTCTTTCTCAGCTGACACAAGAGTCTACAACTAGACCAGGTGCAGTGTCTCACACCTGTAATCCTAGCACTCTGGGAGGCCGAGGCGGGCGGATTGCTCGAGGTCGGGAGTTCGAAACCAGCCTGAGCAAGAGCGAGACCCTGTCTCTACTATAAATAGAAAGAAATTAATTGGCCAACTGATATATATATAAAAAATTAGCCGGGCATGTTGGCACATGCCTGTAGTCCCAGCTACTCGGGAGGCTGAGGCAGCAGAATTGCCTGAGCCCAGGAGTTTGAGGTTGCTGTGAACTAGGCTGACGCCACGGCACTCACTCTAGCCTGGGCAACAAAGCGAGACTCTGTCTCAAAAAAAAAAAAGAAAAGAAAAGAAAGATAATACAACTAGTAAGATGTAAGATGAGCAAACCAGGTTGAGAAAACTCCAAGGGGAGAAAAAAACACTAAAGGCAATCACTACTTTAGAAGGAAGACTGGAAGTCCTGCTACACTTAATGCTGTGTTAAAGTACATCTGTAAATATGAATGGTAGGCATGACTGATGAAGAGAAAAACCCTGTTGTGCATCCAGTCTAAGAATAAAGCAGTAATGAGTGATAACAGCAAAGGATTAGCAGGAATGGTTTCAAAGAATACATAAGCACTTGTTTTATATGCTTGTCATTTGGTGTGTGTGTTCAGTCAATAGTGTGCATGCTTAACGTGTAGGTTTAGTTGCTCTATTTTTTATAATAAGTCAGAATATCCACATTCCACATAAATAGTCTTATCTGTTCTTATCTGTTAGCTACATACTGGAATATTCAAGTGATAAAATGTCTGCAGTTTACTTCAAAATAGTCTGGGTGGGAGGACTATTTATAATTTAGGATGGAGGATACATACTTATGTTTTAGTCTGGAACTTTCCAAAAGTAAAAATTTATATTTTAAGAAAGTGTCTTCAGAACCTAACTTATAAATCTAAACTTGTAAGAAATGTACAAGTATATCATCACAAAAGGAAAAGGATGTATTTCTGGAGTCTATAACATATCAGGAACTGTTTATTCATTAATGTCCAAAACAGGTAGTAGATACTAACTTTTAAAAACAGATACCTATTCTACAGCCTCATATCTGTGCTATCTTTTGTATTGCTCTCTTGACAAAATCACCCATACTTACCCTTCATGAAGTACAAAACCTTTTGGGAGTGAGGGGTCTACAATATGCCCTCAATTAATCCTTAATTCACCAACCAGGACGTTAACTTTACCAGTTTATCCCTCAGTTCTTCACTACACTAAATAGCAGCTATTCAATCAGGAGGCCTAGAAATTATTTTTTATTTCCTCCTTTTATTTCACCTTCCACATCCAATCCATCAGTAATTCCTGCCCATTCTACCTAAAACATATTTCAAATCTATCTATTCTCTTCAGCTCCATTTACCTTCACCTTAATCCAAACTACCATATCCTGCCTAATCTACTGCAATAGCCTAGTTTCCTTAATTCCCTCAACTCATCACTGACACAGTGTATTCTTTATATAGTAACCCATAATGCTTTATCTAAAATATAAACCTGGCCAGGCGCGGTGGCTCACGCCTGTAATCCTAGCACTCTGGGAGGCCAAGGCGGGCGGATTGCTCGAGGTCAGGCATTCGAAACCAGCCTGAGCAAGAGCAAGACCCTGTCTCTACTATAAATTGAAAGAAATTAATTGGCCAACTAATATATAGAAAAAATTAGCCGGGCATGGTGACACATGCCTGTAGTCCCAGCTACTCAGGAGGCTGAGGCAGGAGGATTGCTTGAGCCCAGGAGTTTGAGGTTGCTGTGAGCTAGGCTGACACCACGGCACTCACTCTAGCCTGGGCAACAAAGCAAGACTCTGTCTCAAAAATTAATTAATTAATTAATTAAATATAAACCAAACTACATATCATCTTGTTATTGTCATATGCAAATGTCTGAGATAGGTGTATTATTTTCCCACAAGGGCTGACTACACATATTTGGACAGAGCAATGCTTAAACATTTAACCATACCAACGGATTCACACTGGTTTGTTGTGTTCTATTTACATCTACTAACTTACTTGATAAAAGAACCAAGGTCCAATTGTGGAACTAGTCAATGCTGAGTTACCAAACACCTCATCATAAAATGCCTGTGTTAGATAGTCTATTACAGATTATTGATAACCTCTTCATTGCACTTTTAAAAATGACTAGAAAACAAAAGGTACACTAAAATCTAGAATTCTATTCTATGTCAAATAAAAACAAAATGATTCTGACTTGAAGTCTGTGGCTTAATAGAGTATGCATCCATGAATTTAATTAAAGCTTAACCCAATTTCATGATTTAAAACTGACTTCAAATTTGGTGAAGACAACAAGCCAATGACTATCTGTCTAATTTTCTCATTAAAACTAAAACCTTTGAACAAAAACACAAAAAGTGATTCCCCCCGCCACATACACAAAAAACCTATATACAATGTTTATAGTGGCATCACACGTGACAGCCAAAAAATGTTAACAACCTAAATGCCCATCAATGGATGATGGATAAACAACCTGTGGCACATGCACACGATGAATATAACATAAGCTAACCTTCAATTCATTACACTAAATGAAAGAAGCAAGTTACAAACAATCACATATTACATAATTCCATTCATATAAAATGTCTAAAATAGGCAAATTCATGGAGACAGAAAGATTTGTAGGGCTGGAGGCAATGAAGAGGGAGAATGAGAATGACAGGTAGTAAATATGGAGTTTCTTTTTGCAGTGATAAAGATGTTTTGGGTCAACATGCTAAGATCCACTGAACTGTACCCCTAAAAGGGTGGCTTTCATTACTTGTGAATTATAACTTAATTCTTAAAAAGCAACTACCTAAAACACTAAAAATAAAAAAATAAAAAAACTGGAATACTAGGAAGTCAAAACCTGATTCATATGGGGTTATGTAGTAAAGAATTTGCCTTTACCCAAAGAAATGTCTGGCCTTTGTCCCTGGCTTCTGGAAGGTAATCACCAGTCCCTAGAGAGCCTTGGGCTGGCCAGATGATAACGATATGATTTAGAGTGGGGGCTTTGAGACACTCAACAATGAGATTTGGGGTAAAGATTTAGGTGAGATTTAGGGTCAGTCAGCATCAGTGGATTTCTGGAGGAGCTGGAGACTAGAAACTGAGATCAGCCACATGGACAGTCAAACATGCCTACAAGATGGAGCCCCAATAAAAACTGGGCATGCGGGCTTGAGAGTGCTTTGCTAGTTGACAATACTCCATGCATATTCACACAGTAATGTCTGTAAAATAACATTTTCTTGAGTCCATGGGCAGAGAAAGACTGAAAGCTCTGTGTTTGACTCTGCCCTATATGTTTCTTTCCTTGGCTGATCATAATCCATAACCTTTCCCTGTATCTTTCCCATATCCATGAGCATAATGACTTTCACTGACTTATGCAAGCCCTTCTAAGCAAATTATAGAACCTTCAGAGTGCTTTTGGGGACCCCTGAAATAAGCAGTTGGTCTAGTAAGTGAAGGCAGTCATATGGACTGTTACTTCTAATTTCACAGTTGGCTGAACTCTCACAGAATGAACTTCCAAGGTTTTTCTCTCACCATTTTGGCTAAAGAACAGGTCCTAATTGGGGAGGTGCACAACTGCAGTTTACAGATAAAACTCTGAGAGCAGTTCTGTCTTTCTGGCCAGAAAACAGGGAAATAGGGCCCTTGCAGGCAGGCAAAAGCATGGTGCGGGGAGTTCCAGAGAGAACAGAACTGGAGAAAAGAATTCTCTACTATCCATCCAGAAAGGCCTGGGCTCGTTCCTGAGCTGTGAATAAGTGAGGCATTCCCAACCAACACAGCAAAGGCTTTGAAAATTAAACCACTGCTCAAATCTCAGACTAATCCTCAGTGGCAAATACATGGGACACACCCAATACAGCAGAGTAGAGGCTTTGAAAACTGAACTGATAACTGAACCAACATTTGTAGAAGGTCATGAGAACATGTAGTCTGCAACCAGATATGTTGACTGCGTACGGTATAAAAAAAAAAAAAAAAAAACAGAACCTAAAAAACACAATATTCATAATGTCCAAAATATCTTAAATTTCTCAATATATAAAGATCCAGGGAAATATAAGGAATGTTCAAGGAAAAAGACAACCAACACTTGCCAATCCTGATATTACCCAGATGTTGAAATCATCAGACAAAAAATGAAAGCACTCCATGAGATAAACATAAATGCAATTAAAATTAATGGAAAGACAGAGGTTTTCAGCAAAATAGAAACTTTAAAAAAGAAAACAAGAATTTTAGAATTAAAAGGTACAATGTCAGAAATAAAAATCTCACTGGATGGGCTCGATAGCTGAATGGATATAACAGAGAAGAATGCAGAAATATGAGGATAGAGCAATAAAAGTTATCTAAGCTGAAATACAGAAAGAATAAGGTTCAGAAACTCAGAGAATAGTAGTAAAATACTAAGAGGTAATCATGTCACTGGACTGCCAGAAGAAGAGAAAGAATATGGAATAATAAAAAACTTAAAGAAAGAATGGCTGCAAACTTGCTAAATTTACCAAAAGATTCAAGAAGCTTGGTAAACACTAAATAGATTAGACACAAAGAAATCCACACCTCGCCACATTAAAATCAAACTGCTAAAAACTAAAAATAAAGAAATTATCTTGAAAGCAACCAGAGAAAACAATTTACGTAACTTGCAACAACGATTCAAATGACCATGGATTTCTCATCATGGAGGCCAGAAGACAGTGAACTAGTATTTTTTTTTTTTTTTTGAGACAGAGTCTCCCTTTGTTGCCCAGGCTAGAGTGAATATTGTGGCGTCAGTCTAGCACACAGCAACCTCAAACTCCTGGGCTCAGGCGATCCTCCTGGGCTCAGGCGATCCTCCTGCCTCAGCCTCCCAAGTAGTTGGGACTACAGGCATGCGCCCCCATGCCTGGCTCATTTTTTCTATATATATTAGTTGGCCAATTAATTTCTTTCTATTTATAGTAGAGACAGGGTCTTGCTCTTGCTCAGGCTGGTTTCGAACTCCTGATCTCAAGCAATCCGCCCGCCTCGGCCTCCCAGAGTGCTAGGATTACAGGCGTGAGCCACTGCGCCCAGCCTGACCAATATTTTTAAAGCACTAAAAGAACTATTAACACAGAGTTCTATCTCCAGCAAAAATATTCTCCAAAATGAAGGCAAAACAAAGACGTTCTCAGATATCTTTTCTTAGGATTTTCTTAGGTAACTAAGAAAATTCACCACAAATATACTGCTCTAAAAGAAATATTAAAAGACAGTTTATTAGACTGAAAGGAAATAATACTAGAGGGAAATTTGGAACAAATTTGGAAGAGCAAAAGAAATGGTAACTATCTGGGTAAACATAGTCTTTGAACTATTAGTATGGAAAGCAAAATTAATAACAGTGTATGGTGGGGTTTTCCACATGTAAGATGTAACACATACTATAACTAAAACATAAAGAGGATGGGCAGGCTGGTCAAGGTGGCTCATGCCTGTAATCCTAGTACTTTGGAAGGCCAAGGTGGGAGGATTGCTTGAGCCCAGAAGTTCGAGACCAAGCTGAGCAAGAGCGGGACCTCATCTCTACAAAAAATAGATAAATTAGCCAGGCGTGGTGGCACATGCCTGTAGTCCCAGCTACTCAGGAGGAGGATAGCTTGAACCCAGAAGTTGGACGCTGCAGTGTTCTGTAACAGCACCGCTGCACTCTAACCTGGATGACACAATGAGACCCTGTCTCAAAAAAAAAAAAAGGATGGGTAAAGGGACCTAAATGGTTGTAAAGCTTCTACATTTTATCTGAGGTGGTAAAATATTAACTCTAAGAAGCCTGTGAAAGGTATGGGTTGCATATTATAATCTCTAGAGCAACCACTGAAACAAACAGATAGTCAAAGAGCCAATAAAAAAAAGAAAATGGAATACTACAAAACACTCAAATAATTCTAAAGAAGGTAATAAAGAGGGGACAGCACAACAAAAGTATGGAGGAAAAACAGAAAATAAATAATAAAATGGGAGAACAGATCTAATCATGTCAGAAACCAGACTGGATTTTTAAAAAACAACTAAATGGTACCTATAAAAAACCTACCTTAAATATATAAAGACATTGAGAAATTAAAAGGAAAAAATATGTACTATACAAACACTAATCAAAAGTGGCTCTGTTAATATCAAAACAGACTTCAAAACAAAGATTATTACCAGGGATAAAGACGGTCATTACATAATTATTGCAGGGTTGTATATGCACCTAACAACAAACATTCAAAATACATAAAGGAAAAACTGAAAGAACTGAAAGAAAAATAAATTCACAATTATTCTTGGAGACTTCAATACTCTTCTCTCAATAATCAATAGAATAAGTAGACAGAAAATCAGTAGGAATATAGAAGACCTGCCAGGTGCCGTGGCTCATGCCTATAATCTCCTCACTGTGGGAGGCCAAGGCAGGAGGACTGGCCTTCTGCTTAAGGCCAGAAGTTTGAGACCAGCCTAGCAACATAGAGAGACCTCATGTGCACAAAAAGTAGAAAAATTAGCCAGCTGTCATCATGTGCCTGTAGTCCCAGCTACTCGGGAGGCTGAGGCAGGAGGATTGCTTAGCCCAAGAGTTTGAAGTTGCGGTGAACTATGATTACACCACTGCACTGTACCCAGGGCAACAGAGTGAGACTCTGTCTCAAAAAGAAAAACTTAAATTTAAAAAAAAAACTTTTTAAATAAAAATATTTACACTCAATTTTTAAGGGACATACTACAGAAAGTGAGAGATATTAATTTATGTTTCACTTTTTCGTATCAACAGAGCAAATCTAATTTATTTCCAACCCACTAAATTTTGGCCACAAATCAAAACAAAAAACTTTTAAACTGTTTTAAAAAACAGCCAATAAATAAACTCCAGTAGAATTTCATGTTAAAGATAATTGTACAGAAGTTTTTAAAAAGATACATTTTAAAAATTAGGAAAAAAGAATTTCATGTCAAAGAAAAGAAAATGATTTTCTACAATATTTTCTTTTTAAAAAATATAAAAGAAAATGAGAATTGAAATCTAGGTCAGACAATAGCTATTTATCTAAAAACATATTGTTGTCCATTTACAAATATTGTTTAAAAGCACTGCAAATTTTTCCACCTCGAATGAACATCTATCTCTCTAATGTAGACTCCCAAATTTCTTAATATACATAGTATATTTATTTAACATAATTTTAACATTTCTTGATGACAGAGTCTTAATTATGAATGATTTGTGCTACGATTATGTGCTACTGTAATATAGTAAGGCTCTTAGAGATTAAAGTGTATAATCTTTGATCCTATGTTAATTGACCCCAGCCTATTATATCTGAACATGATAAGACTTTCTATGTCTTTTCCTTTTTATCCTTTTTGGCTAAAGTTATTTCTTCCTAGACTATCTGTCTACCTCTAGCATTTTCCCTGCACTAAAGTAATTATTATCTGCTATTGACCAAGCTTATTAAATCAAAAGCCTGAAGTGATAGATGAAGGCTTGAAGATGGCTCCAGGCCTTGCAAACAATTAAAGTGCATGGGCATGGTAAAAGCTATACCCTCTTTCTCACTAAGAATTTTTTAACTTACTTCTGGTCTTAAAATTATCCAATGACTTAAAAACTGCAAAGATCTGACAGCTGAATAAATCAGAAATTATCAAAGTACTTATTACTAAATAATCAATCTTCAAGACTAAAGTATATACTACTAATGCTACCAAATACTCTAATCAAGTATTATAATTGTTACTAATAATATTTTTAAAAACTCACCTGATTTCTTTTAGTCCTTCTCTCTGGATAACTTGAAGAATTTCTTTATGACTCATGGGTGTATTGGGGTATTTTTCTAAGACCTGAGAAACAAGTATACAATAATAAATTACTTCATCTAATTTTAAGTTCTTAATATATATAGATGTAATTATTTATTATAATTCTGTCTTAATAATTATATCCACAACATACATATCTCCAGAGACTTTTCATCCCTTATATTGTGCGAGATACCAGGTAGAAAATTAACTGAATGTAAACCAGATCTTAGTTAAACACAGTGGTGTGTACTTATAATTCCAGGCTAGGCAACATAGTGAGACCCCGTCTCTTAAAAACAAATAAAATAAAATAAAAATCAGATCTTCTTCCCTTCAGTTACAAACAATAAGTCAAATGCTGAAGCAGAAACTGATCAAAAAAGCTAAGATTAATAGCTCAATTACTCACTATTAATGAATGTGCAATTGTTTACTTCTGCCTCCATCCCCATATCCCATCCCTACTTGTGGCCTATTGTAATCACGTTAAGATTATCTATTTTTACATCTCGGGCAAAGCCTAGTACCACATGGGTGCACAATAAATTCTTAACCAAAACAAATAAATAATACATGTTTATCTGTGTTCTGGTTCTGATAAAGACAGAGTAAGAAAATTCCATCCTGTCTCTCCCATTAAATGCAACTAAAATCCTGGACAGAATGCACAGAACAGCAATGTAAGGACTCTTAAAATGAGAGCAGGTCACTTGAGGAGGAAACCACAACAAGCAGTACCACTAGCCCAGTAATTAAGTTTCCTGGTTTAGTTTCTTCTGGTACATCCCAGTCTGGACTCAAAGGCAGCCTCCAACCCAGAACTGCACACTAAGTACAGACAGAAAGTATTCTAAGAGAATAGTCTTCTCTTTTTTGGTCTGAGGCACAGTAAAAGGGGCCCTTGCAATGTGTTAGATAGTGGGATGAGAAATCCCCTGGGTTTTGGTTTGTTTGGCTTTGAGGGTTTTTTTATTGTTGTTGTTTTTTCCTTTTCTTTCTCTCTGCCCTTGTCCCAGGCAATCCCATGGCAGTATTTGTGGTGATACCAGTAGTTGCTATGCAGGGACCGAAAACTCAAAGAAAAGGGAACCTGTTGGTCCCACAAATATGAGGGAAATCCCCATGATTTATATTCTTTCTCTACTGTCCGCCTGCTTGGCACTGAAGGCAGATGAAGCAGCATAAACTGTGTGGCAAAACAGAGAAATGAAAATCTCAGTTTTCTAGCTAGAAGACAAGGAAGAAAAGTCTCTAGGAACCAAAGAGCATCAGTGAACTTGCAAAGAGAAAAGAGATTAAGAAAGTGATACCATGAAGTTCTACAAACATTCCCAGGGTCACTCCGGTGCTATACATATATAGATTGACCTTAAGCAACATGCCATCAGCTAGACCAATACCCAGTTTCCAAATACTAAGTGGTGCGCACACAAGACAGATCCAAGTAACTCTACAAATACTTTGAAATCTAGACATTAGAGTTTTAGTGCACAGAAGGTAGATAGACACTTGTAACTTGAACCTAACAAGGTCAAATGCCAGCTAAAAAAAATCCCTCTCCCTTCTCCCCAAATCAATATTTTCCATAGGACTTAAGACGGTAACACAACACAAGATCAAAATGTCTAATATACAATCCAAACTCATTTGACATATGAAGAATTGTGAAAATCTCAATAAGTCAGCATAGAAAAGACAAGCTACATAAAACGAATTCAAGATGACAGGGATGTTGGAATTACCAGACAAAAGCAGCTATTATAACTATGCTTGAAGAATTCAGGGTGAATATTCTTGAAACAAATAAGATAACAGTGTCTCAGCAGATACATATGTGTGTATTTATTTTGAGTTTTATTTTGTTTCATATATGTACATTTATTTAAAATTTAGTTCAGATTTTAGAACTAAAAAAATACAATAGTCAAAATTTAAAACTGACATTCCCTAGAAAGGCTCAATAGGAGAATCTCTGGAGATAATAGTGGAAAAAGTGAGTGAACTTGAAAATAGAGCAACAGAAACTATCCAATCTAATTAATACAGAGGGGAAAAAAAATAAAATAAAATAAATAGAGCCAATGGAATATCAAAAGCTCTAACATTCATATCATCAGAGTCACAAAAGAAGAGAAGAGAGCAGAAAACTTCCCAAACTGGAGAAAAATAAACACTTACAATTTTAAGAAGATCAATGACTCTCATACAAGATTGAATAGATATCTGTACCCAGATATATTGCAATCAAACTATTGAAAACTAAAGACAACAAAAAAATCTTGAAAGCAGCCAGAGAAAAATGATGCATTCCAGTTAGGAGAACAACAATTCAAATGGCCATGAATTTCCCATCAGAAACCATGGAGGGCAGAAGCAATGGAATAACATTTTGGAACGAAGAAAGACAAGAACTGTCAATCCAAAGTTCCATATTTAGCAAAAATATCCTTCAGGAATGAAGGAGAAATAAGGACATTCTCAAATGAATGAAATTACTACCAAAAGACTTGGTTTAAATAACATCTTTTTAAATCAATTCTAGTTTCCTCTTTTGTTTTGATCTAAATTTTAGGCAGAAACTCTCTTATCCCTAAATCAACTTCCATTCTTACCATTTAAAAACTAAAGACCCTTCAGCTGTTAAAAGATGCCAATGAAAGCTAAAATTGAAATAACTTTCAAGAATCTACACTAGTGTATTAGCACAGTAAGCCATAACAACAGATAAAGGACTGGTGTAATAGAAATCATTAATGTCAGATATCGTAGATCAGCCATGTAGATACCACAATGTGATATGACCAGCTACCATTTATGAAGAAGATATAAGCAAGGGCTTTCTTTACATCCTCTCATTTAAATGTCTCAGCAACCTTAAAAAGAAAATCATTATTATCCTCATTTAAAAAGTAGGATAACTAAGGCTCAGTCATATTTCCATACATAATACAGTAAGATAAGTGGTAGCCAGAATCCAAATCCCGGTCCGCACCACTATTAACACACTGTGGCAAAAAGATCATTAATGTCAGATATTGCAGATCAGCCATGTAGATACCACAATGTGGGAGGCCAAGGCAGGAGGATCACTGGAGCCCAAGAGTTTCAGGTTGCAGTGAGCTATGATGATGCCACTGCACTTTAACCAGGGCAACAGAGTGAAACCCTGTGTCAAAAAGAGAAAGAGAGAAAAAGAAAGAATTGAAAGAAAAGAAAGAAAAAAAAATGAAAGCCTTAAAATTATTTTTTGCCTTTTTAGTGAGGATTTTGCTGATTTCCCAGGTGTTCTGTTCTTTAAGGAAAAGGAGGAAACCAGTTAGTTAAAACTGCTTAAGGAGGGAGGGGGGAGGGAGGAGGGGGGTGGGTATATACATACATAATGAGTGAGATGTGCACCATCTGGGGGATGGTCATGATGGAGACTCAGACCTTTTGGGGGAGGGGGGAAATGGGCATTTATTGAAACCTTAAAATCTGTACCCCCATAATATGCCAAAAAAAAAAAAATTAAAAAAAAAAAAACTGCTTAAGGACAGTTATTTTCCTTTTAAAATGTTTATCACAGTTAGAACTAGTTTTAATTTAGAAAAGTATTATGCTAAATTTTCTCAGAATATGTAAAGCTAAAATAGTTGGGGAAGAGAAAGAAATATTTTTCAATTACAGATTTAGTACTATACTTTTAAAACTTTTTATTATGAAAATTTAAAAACATTTACAAAAGTAGAGAGAACACTAAGAAGAACCACCATGTACCCATCACCCAGCTTCAACAAATTATCAACACAAGGCCTAGCTTGTTTCATTCATCTATACCTCCCGCAACTCCCACTCCACAAACTGGGTTATTCTGAAGCAAAACTCAGACATTTCATCAACTAATGCTTTAGAGTATGTTGCTCTAAAAGACCAGGACTTCTAAAAATTTTCACACCTCAGAAAATGTCTATAATTCCTTAATATCAACTTATTTTGTCAGTATCCCCAAATTTTCATGGGGAAAAAAACTTTCTTTTAACAGTTGGTTTGTTAAACTGGTAGACCCATAATATTGCATTTGGTTAACATGTCTCTTTTAAGCTATGGATTCTCCCACCCTTTTTTCTTCCATTACTTACTGAAGAAAACAAGTGGATTGTACTACAGTTTCCTACATTCTGTATTTTGCTAATTATATGGTCCTCTGTCCCTTGTATTTCTTGAAAATTAGAATGGGCACCTCGAAGCTTGCTCAGATTCAGACTTTGTTTTAGCAAAAAACTTCATAGGCAGTATTGTATACTTCCTATCACACCACATAAGAACACCCAAAATATCTGTGGGTCTCTGTTTTGAGCTGCCAAGGTGGATCAGTGGGACAGATGTGGTCCACCTGATCCATATATCATAGTTTCCCATCAGCATTCCAACCCAATTGTTTCACCAGCCTACCTCCACTCATTATTTTATTTGGGGGCTGAAAAGTGCTGATAGTCTAGCATTACTTTTTCATATATAAGCTAAAAATGCATCTAAAAAGAAATGCTTTCTTCCTCAACTATTTGGTTACCTGGAGGTAAAAGTCATATTAAAAAAAAAAAGGACCAGGCAACTGTGGCTCACAATTATCTGGGTGTGGTGGCATGAACCTATAGTCCCAGTTACCTGGGAAGCTGAAATGGTAGGACTGCTTGAGCTCAGGAGTTTCAAGTTAGAGTCAGCTGTGACTGCAAAACTACACTTGAGCCAGAGTGAGAGTGAAACCCTGTGTGTGGAGGTGAGTGGGGTCTTTTACTGTCACATTTATTACAAATATGTTTTCCAGTTTATCCTTCATCTTTTTACTATTGATTTTCTATAGAGGATTTTTATGTATCATAACTGATTGATCTTGTCTTTTTATTTCTTTTAGCACTTCTACATGTCAGTGTAGCTTCCCTCCCTTCAATAGCTTAATAATTTTTCTGTATTTGTTTACATTTAACTCTTGTAATTCACATAAGAAAATGTGCATAGATAGAAGTGAGGAAAATGTGCAGTCATTAGAAAAACCAAGAGGGAAGAAAGAAGAAAAAAACACCAAATATCACATATATTTTTGAGCATAAATCTATGTCAAACCATTACCTTCTTTTAGAAGTTTTATGTAAGTGTAAAGACTACAGTTTTGCAAAACATTTAATTTACTCTAACCACAGGAGGGCAGTGTTTATCAAACAAAACTTAACTCCACTGGAACCGTTTGAACGACAAAACATAATTTTTAGAAAATACTTTATGACAATAAGAATAACCACTCAGTCACGCCTGTAATCCTAGCACTCTGGGAGGCCAAGGCGGGTGGATCGCTCAAGGTCAGGAGTTCAAAACCAGCCTGAGCAAGAGCGAGACCCAATCTCTACTAAAAATAGAAAGAAATTAATTGGCCAACTAAAAATACACAGAAAAAATTAGCCGGGCATGGTGGCACATGCCTGTAGTCCCAGCTACTCTGGAGGCTGAGGCAGAAGGATTGCTTGAGCCCAGGAGTTTGAGGTTGCTGTGAGCTAGGCTGACACCATGGCACTCTAGCCAGGGCAACAGAATGAGACGCTGACTCAAAAAAAAAAAAAAAAAAAAAAGAATAACCATTCAGAAGATTTAAAATCAACACTACATGGAATTAAAGTACAATAAAATATATTTTCAAAGCATATTTAATACATCTACTTCTTAGCTTGTAGATTTCTCAAGCTCATAAAAGGGAAATGAAAATTATATTTTCTGAGCACTCAAGAATAATCTAAGATTCGAGTTTGAGTCTAGCCTAAATAACAGCAGTTATTTTAATCACTGTTGCACTTGAGTTCATTCCAGACATCCACAGGTGCACAGGGTCTGATTTTTCTATAATCAAGATGATTTTATCAATGTGTTAAATTTAAAATGTCCAAACTAACAACATGGTGATCTTTACACATTTATATCAGAGTTTTAAGGCTCATTTACTACCCAAAAGCTTTAATTAGAGTAACTAAGGCCATGGCAGTAAATGAAATCAGCCAGGGAATATAGAGTGAAAAGAGATGAGAACCTATGCTACAGAACAATATACCAACCATTTAAGAGCCAAAGAAGAAAAACTAGCCAATAGACTAAGAAGTGGCCAGAGGGATAAGAACACCAGAAAACTTTGGTGCTTCAGAAAAGACTAAAGTATTCTATTTTTGCACACCCAGGGCATAACCTTAGTATTCTAAGGTTCAGTTGACCAACAATGTCAAAAGCTGCCTACAAGTTGAGATAACAACAGAAATCTATCCCCTGTATTTAGCAACAAGGAGATTTTTAATTAGCTTTACAAATTCAGATTCCACTTAATCTGGAAGGAAGACATCAGACTTGAGGGGGTTGGTTTAGCACTGAATGGTAGTCTGGAAGTGGCCACAGGAAGTGAAAACAGTTATTCCTAGAACTGAAATGTGGAGTTAAGGGATAATTGTTTTGTCAAATGGAGTTTCACTGAACCAGGATAAAAGGAGACCCAAGTATCCCCAGATACTCCGACACAAGAGAAAAACAAATTCAGATAATTTCTGACAAATCCCTCACTATCCAAACTTGTGCTACTTACCATGTGACGCTCAGGAACAAAATGAATTCAGAGGATGCAGTATCCCTCACCTACCAAACTCAATGTACAAACACTCACTGTGGAAGTTCAGGAGTTAAACACATGAGAATAACAGGAACACACAGAATTTAGACAGAAGGAATAACTAACAGAGCCAAATATCTTCAGAGGAAAGAGGGAAAGGCCCTTACCTGTATGCTTGGCAGTGTCTGTTGCTCATTACCTCTGTCCTGAGATGCACTCTTCTGTTTGGCTTCTGACACTGACCTTGGTTCCCTCCTACCTCTCCATCAGCAACTTTTTCATTCTCTACAATCTTTTAATGTCGATCTTCAGGATTCTTTTCTCTTCTCAATTTCTATTCTCATTGGACATTTTCATCCTCCCATGGCTTCAAAAATAACTATGCTCCTACAGTAGCACCCTATACATCCCCAGTACTGCTTATCACAGTGCATTTATTATAATTGCATTTTACATTATCTGTCTTCCCCACTGGCACATAAGATCCATGAGGGCTGGGACCATCTGTCTTGTTCATCTAGTATTCCCACTGCCGATCATATGGCAGGTCTAAAACATTTGACTGATGGAATTAGGAGCACAGGTGGCAAGATTAGCCTCAGACAAAAGTAAAAAGACCTCTCTTTTTTTTGTAAACAAAAAAGCCATGTAAAAGGTTAGGGCAAATGCAAATAAATTTATAGATCTGGGGATAGAAACTTGAGCATAAAAGCAGCTAAGACTATTTAAAATATCAAATCTATACAAAGAGGCACCTACAGATATAGAGGTGATTACAGAGCCTGACTTCATAAGTTCAGGGGTATCATTTTACCTGGGGGAAGGGGGTTCTTGAATTCTGAACAGCTTTACAAGTCACTCTGGTTTAGTCTATTCCTACCTTGGATTCTTTTTAGCTGATTGCCCACAAAGTCTGGATATTATACACACTCCCTAGTTCAAGCAAAAAAGCTCTTAAAGTCAAATTCTCCCTAAACTCTGAAGAATTAATAACAGTTAATACTTACCTAGCATTTATTTGCCAGGTAACCTTCTAAGTGCTTTACATATATTAGCTCATTTAATCTCTATAATAAATCTATGAGGTAGATACCACTATCCCATGTTTTCAGAACTGAAAACTGAGGCACAGAGAAATTAAGTAACTTGTCCAAGGTTGTATCAGCTAATTAAATGACAGAGCTTAGTGTTGCTGCTGGATCGCCCAACATGTCATCATCAAAAGTCAACTCTGAACTCCCTATATGTTACAATTCCTCAAAAAGAGAAGCCAATCATTTGGGTGGCAAGGTGATCACACTGGACCTCTTCCACCCTGAAGGCGACAGGAATTTGCCCACACTGGCACTGACAACCTTCCTGGAGGAGTATATATTCCCTGCCTTCAGTGCTTCAGCCACTGTCACCATCCAAGGGTATCTGATGTACCAACATGGGGCATAACAACACCTCAGACCAAGTGACCCTTTTCAGGCAAAAAAATAAAAAGTGTAACAAAGGATTCTGAGCACTGATCTCACTATATACTATATCACCAAGTAGGAGTAAGCCTAAGACAACATGGAACTGGCCTCCAAGATGCAATAAATGCATCTTCAAAGTACAATAAAGAGGTGTGAGTAGATATAGGATTGGCTCCTATGATCCCAGTGACCAAAAGAATTTGTCTACCATCCCTGTAACTTAAGGCTCTGCTAGGATTACAGGTCATTATTTTCAGAGGGGAAACATTTTTATCAGAGGACTTCTAATCTGAATCTGAAGTTAACAACTGTTGTGTCACTTTGGGCACATGCTGGTGCACAAGCAGGCAAAAGGAGGAATTACTGCAATGGCAGAGGTAACTGACCCTAGTGCTTAACTGAGTAACTGAATCTAGTAAGTGGTTCTCAGTGCTTCCATGCCTAGTGATAACAGGAAAGTGCAGCATAAGGCAAAGGCATGAAAGGGAAAGGCAAGCAAGGGCTCAGACTTCTCAAGAATGATGGTCTTAGGCAAGCAACCTAGATCAGTTGAAGTCTGGCCAAGGGTGAGGGAAATCTAAAACGGTGGTAGTGAAAGGAGATAATGAATATCTACATGGCCTTGGAACCAGCTGCTGTGGCAGAGACTATAACTTGTTCCATTAACCCTCCTATATTAAGCTGTTTTAAGAGAGTGCTGCCAGCCTCTGTCTTGAACTGGTGACAAGAGTGGGCTTACTGCGGAGCACAGCTGTGTAAGGAACACACTCTGAAAGATTCTTGCAGTGTCCTATAACACATCCCTTTAAGAACCCCTTCACCTCTCCTTTCCATTGCAGCTCTGGCAGACAGCGCCTCTCACAAAGCCAGCATGCAACCTCGCTAGTGCTGCTCTCTGTAGCTGACATACCTTCCCTACTCCTTTTTATAGCTCAAAAGTTTATCTGTCATGTAACAAAATAGCAAAAGTTTCTAAACTGGTAATATTCAATTCTTCAAGAGTTGACTAAGACAAGCACTGACACAGGTAAAGTAATACATCTTTCTGGAAAGTAATTTGGTAGTAATGTAAGTTCAAGAGCCTTTCAAAGACTTATATCTTCTTACCTAGTAACTTTTCCTCTAGCAATCTTTAAAAGCAAAATAAAAGAAATATATACAAGGCCTATGCACAAAGGGGTTTACTATAGTATTATTTGTAAGGGTTATAAAAATAAACGACCTAGCCAGGCATGGTAACCCATGCTTGTAATCCCAGCATTTTGGGAGGCTAAGGCAGGAGGCCAGGAGTTCAAGACCAGCCAAGGAAACACAGAGAGACCTCATCTCTAAAAAACAGTTAAAAATTAGCTGGGTTTGGTGGCACATGCCGGTAATCCCAGCTACTCTGGAGGCTTAAGCAGGAGGATCCCTTGAGCCCAGGAGTTTGAAGCTGGCCTGGACAATATAACAAGATCCCATCTCTAAAAAATAAAAATTAAGTTTTTTTTAAATTAAAAACTTCTAATAAAATGAAGTAGGTTAAATCATACACTAAAAAGAGGAGTTGGTATAGCAATCATAGATCCTAATTAATGTTAGGGTGTATCTCTCATTCCAACTTTTCCCCTACAATTCTCACACAGAATTATAGGACAGAAGAGTATATGAATAATAAAATCAGTAAGGTTGATTTAAAAAATATATCAAACTTTAAACCCCTCAGAAATATTCCACTTTTTTTCCCAATCACTAACAGAATGGTTCAGAAAACTGCTATAAAAACCATAAAGTGTTCAAACTTATTTTCTGATTAAAATGCAAAACCATAAGCTAGCAAAAAAATAAAAAGGCTTAAAATTGTTTTAAATTCTACTTCAAAAAAAAAATCTTAGGTCAAGAAGGAAAAATCTTGCAATATCTACATAAAAGAAGTAAATGAAAGGCATAATTATGGAGAAGGAAGCAATTTATTACTTGTAGATACTGTTCTCTTATTCTCTTAAACTGCTTGATTTTTTTACCATATTTAATTTATTTGAACAAATACCTAAGCATCTGCTATAGTTCCATTGCCTAGCAAGTCATCCAAAATATGGCTGTACTATGACTATCCAAATTTATACTCTAGGCCATGCGCGGTGGCTCACACGTGTAATCCTAGCACTCTGGGAGGCCGAGGCAGGCAGATTGCTTGAGGTCAGGAGTTCGAAACCAGCCTGAGCAAAAGTGAGACCCAGTCTCTACTACTACAGACATGCACCACCATGCTCAGCTCATTTTTTCTATATGTACTTTTTTTTTTTTTGAGACAGAGTCTTGCTTTGTTGCCCAGACTAGAGTGAGTGCTGTGGCATCAGCCTAGCTCACAGCAATCTCAAACTTCTAGGCTCAAGAAGGAAGATAAGGAAATTTATTAATTTGTCACTGAAAAATCTCAAGGAAGAACTTCAGTTATGGTTGGATTCATTTTTTAAAAGCATTACCAAGATTTTGTTTCTCTTTGTCTTTGGGGTGTTGGCTTGATTCTCAAACTGTGTAGATTTGTGTTTTCAACAGCTTACCTACCATTCAACATTTTTCTGGTAAAAAGACCCTGATGTTCTTTTGGAAATCCACCTGCCCCTACATTCACAATCTATACCATGGAAACCAACACTAGCAGTAAAGCTTGAAACCAATTAGCACTTTCCATCCTCTTGGCCACAGTAATTGGTAAATGGGCAGAAGACTCAAGCCAAGGCTCAAGGGGCAGAATAAGAGAAAATTAAAGATTTTTTTCACTCCAGCAACCACTGGACCTAAACCTGAATGATGTGTGGCTGAAGCAAACAGCTCTCTTGCTACACACAGTTTGAGAATCAAGCCAACACCCCAAAGACAAAGAGAAACAAAATCTTGATAATGCTTTTAAAAATGAATCCAACCATAACTGAAGTTCTTCCTTGAGATTTTTCAGTGACAAATTAATAAATTTCCTTATCTTCCTTCTACCACATTGGTATAGGTTTTCTCTCACTTTCAAAACAGTCTTAATTGAGTTGGCACCCTCCCTAGACCAAGATTAAGAACTCCTAGAGTAGGTGACAAATCTATACATATGGGTTCATAACAATAACGCTAATTATGGTGAACAGGCTGGCAATAATTAGAACCTACTCGTCACAAAGAGTTTTCAACCATACTAGCAAAAAAGAAATTTTCACATGCTTCTTTATTTAAGCTCATTGAACTGTATGACAAAACAGTCCCAGAAATGAGCCACAGCAAATGCCTTGAAGCTACCAAGACAAGGCGATTGTTTTAGAACTGCAGAGTTCCCAAATGTCAAACAGAATCTGTGTTTCCATATCCTTGCTCAATAGAAGCAAGACCAGCCAAAATGTCACCTCTTCCATGAAGTCTGCTGTCATCCTCAGCGACACCTTTCCTTCTCAACTACCTTAGACACTTAAAGTGAGCAACTTCAGAAGTTAATTATACATTACATTTCATTGTCCCTAGTTATTTTAGTCTCTTACTCTTGTCTTCACATAATAAGATGCACTTATTCACTAAGGCAAAACAGCCAAGATTTTACTCAGGACAGCAACTCCTGAAGCACAGAAAGACCGCTAACCAGGTAATCCCCAACTTAGATTTCCTGAATTTCACTTTCCTTTTTGGAGAAAATACAGGGTTTTTCTCTCTGTAGTTAATACTACCACAACAATAATGGCCCTCTAGAGTTACCATATTTCTACTTAAAGCTCCAGTTCAAATGTGGAATAAAATATCCTTTTTGGAGGGGCTGCCCTTGCATAGCTTAAAATAAAAAATGCAGGCTCTGTAAAAATAGAACATTATTAAATAGTGAGGGAAAGTTGCACAAGAGAACAAAGGGAAAGAAAATGCAACTTGCAGTTACTTTTATATGAACAGGTTTCTGAATTTCATCATGATGCCCTTCTAATACCAATATTCCACACTCTAGTTCTGCCCTTCCTAACTCATTACCAGTTAACAGGAGGTCTAGTGCACAGTACTTGTGTTCACAGAAGAGGAGGCTTCCATTCCTTCACAATCAGTAAGCAGAGTGTTATCTCTTCAAGGTCAGTGACCATGCTAAATACTCGTAACTCTCCACAAACTAAAACAAAGTTAAGGAGGAGGAAAACACTGCAAAAAAAACTATACTGAAATATTAGGCTATTAAGTATGAAACGTCCAATTTCCTTAAGCACCAAGTTTGACAGTTGATATCTTGGGACATATCACTTTGACAATTCTTGTTTTATTTATTTATGTATTTTTTTCAAGACAAAAGTGAAACAAAGTTTACTAAGGAAGGACAAGATAGGTTTACAGAGCAAGAACAAGATATAGGTTTATAGAGTAAGCAAGATACATTTGCCACAAAATGTTGTAACAAAAGGGCACTTCCTATTTTGTTTTTATTGTGAAGGTACATACTCAGGCTGTCAAACACATGGTTTGGCTTATGATTATCTTTCATATTTTTGTTTAGAGCAATTTTTGTGAAACCATGGATAAGTCAAAAATTGAAGTTATTTTTTTCTTTTATTTTAGTGTATTATGGGGGTACAAGTGTTAAGGTTACATATATTGCCCATGCCCCCCTGGCCCCTCGAGTAAGAGCTTTAAGTGTGTCCATCCCCCAAACGTTGCACATCTTACTCATTGTGGTTGTATATATCCATCCACCTGCCTGACACCCGATAAATGTTACTCCTGTATGTCCACTTAGGTGTTGATCTGTTAATACCAATTTGCTGGTGAGTACATGTGGTGCTGGTTTTTCCATTCTTGAGATACTTCACTTAGTAGAATGGGTTCCAGCTCTATCCAGGAATATACAAAAGGTGCTATATCACCATTGTTTCTTAAAGCTGAGTAGTATTCCATGGTATACATATACCACATTTTATTAATCCACTCATGAATTGATGGGCACTTGGGTTGTTTCCACAGCTTTGCAATTGTGAATTGTGCTGCTATAAACATTCGAGTGCAGGTGTCTTTTTCATAAAGTGACTTTTGATCTTTTGGGTAGATGCCCAGTAGTGGAATTGCTGGATCAAATGGTAGATCTACTTGTATCGCTTTGAGGTATCTCCATATTGCTTTCCACAGAGGTTGAACTAGTTTGCAGTCCCACCAGCAGTGTAGGAGTGTTCCTTTCTCTCCGCATCCATGCCAGCATTTGTTTGGGGACTTTTTGATAAAGGCCATTCTCACTGGAGTTAAGTGATATCTCATTGTGGTTTTGATTTGCATTTCCCTGATGATTAGAGATGTTGAACATTTTTTCATGTTTGTTGGCCATTATTCTGTCTTCTTTTGAGAAGTTTCTGTTCATGTCCTTTGCCCATTTTTTGATAGGGTTGTTTGATTTTTTTCTTGCTGATTTTCCTGAGTTCTAAATAAATTCTAGTTATCAGCCCTTTAGCAGATGTGTAGCTTGCAAAAATTTTCTCCCATTCTGTGGGTTGTCTGTTTGCTCTCTTGACAGTTTCTTTGGCTGTGCAGAAGCTTTCTAATTTGATCAGGTCCCATTTGTTTATTTTTATTGCTGTTGTGATTGCCTTTGGGATCTTCTTCATAAATTCTTTGCCTAGGCCAATGTCTAGAAGAGTATTTCCAACATTTTCCTCTAGAATTCTAATAGTTTCACACCTAAGATTCATATTTTTGTTTAGAGCAATTTTTGTGAAACCATGGATAAGTCAAAAATTGAAGTTATTTTTGAATATGAGTTCTGTCATAGAACCAATGAGGCACAAACAGCTCAAAATATTAATGAAATATTTGGGAAGGACGTGACTAATGAATACACAGTACATTAATATGTTGAGAAGTTCCATTCTGGTGATTTTAATCTTGAAAATGAACAACGAGGATGACCCAAGACCAAAGTGGATAACAATGAGCTGAAAGCTGTAGTGGAAGCGAATCCATCTCAACCTGAATTAGCAGCAAGGTTTGACGTTACTAATTCAACAATATTGGACCATTTGAAACAAATGGGCAAGGTAACAAATCTGGATAGATGGGTTCCGCATGAAGTAAGCGTCAGAAGAGAAATTGTCTCTAAGCTTGCCTTTCTTTGCTGTCATGACATAAAGGCAAGCCATTTCTACATTGTATTGTTACATGTGATGAAAACTGGATTTTTTTTAACAATCGTAAGCATTCAGCACAATGGTGGGATAAAGATGAAGTGCCAAAACACAGTCCAAAACCAAATATTCATCAAAAAAAGCTAATGGTATCTGTTTGGTGGTCCAGCACTGGTATTATCCACTACA